AACTAGTAAGATTACAAGAGAAGGAAAACAAAAGCAAAGGAAGAAAAACTCAATTCAAGCAAATGTATGTCATGGCTAAATAAATGAATGATAAAATTATAGAGATTTTTTTTTGTTTATGGCTGGAGGTCACACACTAAAGTTCATGTCTCAAATTACAACACAGTAAGTATAAGGGCCATATTCCTTTTGTTGTGTTATTTCTGTATACAAAATATTGCATTTTACATACCAATTACCAACAAAAAAAATGTTCAAATAGCTCAAGATAATGATATATAGTAGTATATAACTTTTTTAAGGGCTAGAGATTAGAATAAAAACCTATCACAAAATCTATTTCATCAACACAGAGAAGACTGTTTTCTCCTTGGTTTGAGGAAAAACAACAAAATGGGATTTTAGGAAAAAAAACTATTAAAGCCATGCACTCAGCAAGCAGATACAGTATTTTTAGGAGAATCTAGCTAATCTACCCTAATGCAAAATATACTGTTTGTCATTTATTTAGATTGCTTTCCAAATGTATGTACTACCTGAAATAAGACAGGTTTTCAAATGACTTTTTGCCAAATGGATTGGGAGGGCAAAAATAGCATCAAAGACCCAGAGAAGCTATAAGAGCATTACAAGAAAAAACTTGGAAGGTGTGCTTGGCTAGGAAGCCAAGAAGACCTTTAATCCAAACAAATCATGAGCCAAAAGTATCGTTTTAAATGGGAGAGAATGAAATCAGCCTCTTTCATAAAGCCAACTCATGGCCTTCCAGTTTATTTCCATAACAAACCAGCTACAAATTACATGAGATTTCATTGACAGCATTCGTTTTTTCATCATTTTTGAGTCAATTTTATAAGTCAGATATAAACAAAAGGTAATCTCTTCCCAGAAACATCTGCTAGAATATTTATCCTAAATAGTGTTTTCATTGACACATATTCATTCTCGGTCAAAGCAATTTTTAAAGAGTTCTTTTAACTTTTAAATAATTCATATAATTTCACCTTTCAGCATGGATACCTAAAAGAATACCAAATAAAACACTTCAAATTTTTCAAAGAAAATAGAAACAAAAACAAAAAGGGATGTTTTAGGAATAGGATATTCGAGCACCATATTTCAGAGGCTCAGGAGGCAAGAGTGCATGTAAGCCTTCGAACCCTAATATATCTGTCTCCTAAGTCAATTTTTATTTGTAATGAATCAGAACCTTATAGTGATATTAAAACTACATATTATATCCATACTTTTGTTAAGATAATCTTAAGAATAATTTTAAACGTTTCTATTCAGTTATGCTATTTTGAGGATATTTCACTTTCAAAAAGAATGATCATTTTTATGTCACACAATTTCCAGAATATATTTAATTTTAAGGTAAAATTCAAACTTCCTAATGAATTATTTTGATATACTATTTTTTACATTAAAACAATCAAATAAAAATAACTTAAGTGACAGTTAATTTAACACATCAGATCCAACAATAGATTCAAATAGATTTTCCCATAAGGGAAAGGTAAAAAAAAGCTCCAGCTAATTTTTCAGTCAGCTTCTAGTGAGGACCCACTTTGTGACAAGCCCTCATAAATTAAGCTACTCTAGATGATTTTCCAGAAGTTAACAGAGGTGTCATAGCAGCTTTTGAATGAGTTACGGTAGTAAAAATAATAACGACAATTGAGTACTTACGATGTGTCAGGCACTCTGCTAGGCACAGTACATGAAAATTCCATTTAATGTTCCCAAAGCCTTAAAATGTAGGTAGAATATTTTTTCCCTTTTAGCAGAAAGAAGCAGTGAAGCAAAAAGTGACTAAGAAACTTGCCCAAAGCCACACAGTTAGAAAGTGTGGCAAGCCGGAATTCTAAACCAGGTAATCTGACCCCAGAACACACACTCTCAGAATGAATTTTCTTTTGGAACCATATTGTAACTGTAATTAGTTTTACAAGATAGTACATAAAAGCCTATAGACAACAGACTATACATACACAACTGAACTCTAGAGACTAATGAGCTGATTCAGACACAGAAGGAATTAGTAGGATGATGAGTGCTTTATCTCTGTTTTTAACAATGGCCATTATCTTGAAAAAAGGTTTTCAACTATTGTAAAGCCAAAGAATCCTCTTGGCAAGTGAAATCTAACCCAACAATTCAACTTCTAAAACAGATGAGATTCTCTGCCATAGAACTTGCAAAAAAAAAAAAGAATAAAACAGAAGAGCTCTGATTGAAGTGGGAAAGGAAAAGCCAGACTTTCCTTCCTCCATTATGCAAAATACACCCTGAGATACTTCCAAAACACTCTGGATTTTAAGGAAGACAGCCTGAAAATCACTGAAGTAGACAGAAGGATTACTGTAGACCCAGTAGATCTTATTTTCCAAAAATCACTAGACGAAGTATCTTATGATGTTCTTGTAGACAAAATAGATAAATACCGGTTGGAAGATAGTACAGTTACATGTAACAATAGATCTGTCCATCTAATGGAAGGCTTTTGGTGTCATGCCAGAGGACTTTGTATCTGTCCAACCCCATTCAACATTTCTCATCAATAACTTGGATGAAGTCCTTCCTACAAAGTATGCCTATGGAAAACAATTTAAAATTATCATCCAACATAATCAAGAAAAGCATGAACTGCAAGCATTCAAGGAATATACATTTTTAAATGCTGAATATTTTTCACAGAAATCCTTTTTGGTGAGACCTAGTATGTAGAAGTAGACCCTCAAAGGAGACAAGGCGTTCAAGACTTCATCTTAAACTTAGTTAAGTCCAAAAGTTAACTCATCTCCATCCCTGCTCAGTTAACTTTGTGAGTATGAATGCCCCACTCCCCCACTCCCACCAGACTGCAGTAATGGATTGCTCACAAGACCACAGGAATGCCAAAACCAAAAGAACAGAAAACTAAACTTCAAAAAGCCAAAGTGAACTCCAGGTTAAATGGTCTAGAAACACATATTAGCAACAGTGCAAGGAGCCACAGTGAAAGCAAAAACCAGAGAGAGAGGTGATAACTGATCCGTGGATCACAAGGAATGATCTGAGTCTTATCTTGCTCTTTTGTTTTGCTTATGTAAACTTTACTTGATCAGCCAAGTTTAAAGGTCCAGAGTTGAAATAGACACAATTCTTTCCAAGGTAGAATGGAATCAGTATTTTCCTGGTTAACACAATGGGAAGTTGTAATGAGTTCCAGGCTATTCTTAAAGTGAATGCATAATCACACGACTTCTCTTTCAACACCGAAGCACTCTTTCAAATACATTAAGTACTTGAACTGATGTTGATATCCAAATCAATCTAACTTTTCCACTCTGTTCTCCATCTCAGACTAACAGAACCAGATATGTGTGTCAGGTAGAGGGCATGGTTTTAGCTGGCCAGGTGAAGCAAGGAAGTGGTGGAAGATGGGGTAATAACCATAGAAGAGAGTAATTATAGTGGAAACATGCTGTGATTCAAATGTGTCCCCAAAAGTTCACGTGCTGAAAACGTAATTGCCAATGCAACGGTGTTGAGAGGTGGGCCCTTTAAGAAGTAATTAGATCATGATGGCTCTGCCCTCAAGAATGGATCAATGCTGATCTCAGGAATGGGTTCCTGAAAAAAGGATGAGTTTGGTCCTCTTCCTTCCCCCCACCCCCAACATGTACTCTTTTGCCTTTTCTCCCTTCCACCATGGGAAAATACAGCAAGAAGGCTCTTGCCATATCCCGGCTCTAGAACTGCAAAAAATAAAGTTCTTTGCTTTGTGAATTATCCAGTCTGTGGTATTCCTTTATAGAAGCACAAAACTAAGCCAGAACATCATAGGGTTAGTGAATTCCACAAAGATGAAAAACCCAATATCCAGTTGTTGCTGTCTTTTGTTGTTGTTTTCCTGGGAAAGCAATGCATATATATTGGAAGGAAAAATAAATGGTACCTCCCTCATTTCCCAGTAACAGTAGGTCTATGCTTTGTACTATTAGTAATATTCACATAACAGTTTTCGAGAGAATTAAATGAAAATCCATGGAAAATATTTAGAATAATGTCTGGTAAAATAGTACATGCTCAAAAGTATTAGCCAGAATTTTATTATTATACTATCATCATCATCATCATCCTGGCATTATCATCTTGAAACCTATTAGTCCTCTTGAGCAGCCTACAAATCTTCCAGGTCAGCTCCAGGGCAGCTGGAGTGGTGGTATAGAGAAATGATAGTACCATGAGATGGGAGTGTTTCAGCCCAGATTTACGATAAGAACAAGGCTAAGTCGAGAGAGTATATGAATGACATCTTAAAAACTGAGTTCAAATTGTTTAAAGTACGTCTTCTGTTAATTATCCTCTCTGGACCAAATGAGTAGTGATGCTTCCTATAGGCTTAGGCTCTCAGGAGTTTGGCTAGGTTAGAGATCAGAATAAGAAAAAGCAGAAAATGATCTAGGATGCTCATTAAACTGGTGCGTCAGTAATGGCAACACAAAAAGAACACAAGGGAGGTAAGAGTCTGATGCAATCTCTACAAGCCTGCAGCTATGTAAGTATAGAGAAGCTTGATTTTGGACTTTGACACAGCTCAAACCCTTGCCACCAGTTCTGTCTTAAAATGGCCCCAATTTAGGGATCTCTTTCATCTCCCAGGAAAAATCTGAAAATATCCTGTCAAGTAATCTTTGTTCAGGATTCAAGGCCCACATGGGAATGAAAGCTAGGTTGGAGAAGGAAATTGTATGATAGTTTGTGGGGATCATAATGCTGTTGGCAGAATTCAGAGGTAAAAGAAGTATAGGGTATAGATTTCCAGGCAAGAGAGATTAAGAGCTAGAGAAAAACATGTATAATTTATACCTCAATAATATAATACAATAAAATTCCCCAACCTTTAAGTCTAAAATTTGATTAATTTAATGAATGTGTATCATCATGTAATTAACAACACAATCATAATGTAAAACTTTTTTTCCTTTTTCTTTTCTGTTTTTCAAATAAAGTCTGGTTTTATTGCTTTTGGCCAAAGCTGTTACAGAGCTTACACAGCAAAAGTCTGCTGCAACTTCATCTTCCAGGTAAGTGGTAGCTTGGGAGTGTGCACCTAAGAATGTTTTTTGAGTAGAGCATTGATCTTGAATAAATATTAGTTGAAATTTATTTGAAAAACATCTGATGGGGATCTAGGCAGATTAAGTGAGGAAAATAAGTATATATAACTGCTCTTGGCTGGGTGCAGTGGCTCAAGTTTGTAATCCTAGAACTTTGGGAGGCTGAGGTGGGAAGATCGCTTAAGTCCAGGAGTTTGAGACCAGCCTGAGCAAGATCAAAATCCCCATCTCTATAAAATATAGAAAATTAGCCTGACATGGTCCAGTAGTCCCAGCTGCTAGGGAGGGTGAGGCTGGAGGGTCATTTGAGCCCAGGAGATTGAGGTTGCAGTGAGCTTTGTGCCCTCCAGCCTATGCGACAGAACAACCATGCTTGACTAATTTTTTCTATATATTTTTAGTTGTCCAATTAATTTATTTCTATTTTTAGTAGAGATGGGATCTCGCTCTTGCTCAGGCTGGTTTCGAACTTCTGACCTTGAGCGATCCTCCCATCTGGGCCTCCCAGAGTGCTAGGATTACAGGCATGAGCCACCGCACCCGGCCCACATGATGTAAAATGTTTTCATCACTGCAGAAAGTTTCTTCTTGCATCTTTGCAATCAATCCTCTCTCCCCTAACAACCACTGATTTGCTGTTAGTAGAATTTTAACTTTTCTAGAATGTCATATCAATGTCATTATGCAGTCAAGATGGCTACATAATTTTCAAAATAAAAGTGTGGGGTCCCTTGTTAAAAAATTATTAAGAATTTCAAGGAAGCAAAAGCAGAATATTAAACTGAGCACAGAAGCTTTCTGAATATGGGACATTGTGTGATGGCATCGGCCACATGCTCATGAAGCCATGTTGTTGCATGTATCTGTCTTTGTTCCTTTTATTGCTGAGTAGAATTCCACTGCATGAATGTACAGCAGTTTATCTCCTTACCAATGGATGAACATTTACATTGTTTTCAGTTTGCACCTGTACAAATAAAACTGCTAATGAACATTCAAATATTAATACAAATCTTTGTTAAACAAATGTGACAACCACTACACCAAAGACAAATACAAATCTTTGATGTCTTTTGAAGAGAAGTTCTTAATTTTGATTAAGTCCAATTTATCAACTTGTTTCTTTCATGGCTCACACTTTTTGTGTCTTATCCAAAAAATCTTTACCCAACCAAAGGTAACAAAGATTTTCTTCCATGTTTTCTTTCAGAAGTTTCATAATTTTAGGATTTACATTATGGTAGCTATGCTCCATTCTGAGTTAGTATGGTATATGGTACAAAGTATGATTCAAAGGCATTTATTTAATTGCTTATTTTGCATATGCGTATCCAATTGTTCCATCTCCATTTGTTGAAAAAGGCCTTTCTTCCTCTGGTGAATTGCTTATGTGCTTACACTTAGGTCTATGATCCATTAAAGGCCTTTAACCAGAGGAGTGACAAGATCCTTTAACAAGACCATGTAGCTACTATCAGGAGAATGGATCATAATGAAGCAAAGAGGAAGAAGACAGATCAGTTAGAAGACTATAGTTCTGGTGAGATAGGTTGGAAACTTGGACTGGTATTAAGCTGAGGAATGATGAGATCTCCGTGTAGTTTTAATTGGCATTTCCCTAATGACTAATGATGGAGAGCATTATGCATGTGCTTAGTTGCCATCCATGTATCATCTTTGGTGAAGTGTCTATTCAAACCCTACCCCCCCCTTTTTTTTGACATTTAGATCTAATACCCACTGGACAATTTTAAGCAAAGGAGTGGCAAGATCCCATTGTGGTTTTGTTGTTTTAATTGGGATTTCCTGAATGTCTAATGATGTTGAGCTCTTTAATGTGCTTACTTTCCATCAACTTTACAAGTGTCTATTCAAATCATGTGTCTATTTTTTTTTTTTTTGCACTGAGTTCTGTGATTCATTGGAGGGTTTTAAGCAGAAGAGTGGCAAGATCTTTTAACAAGATTGTGCAGCTGCTATGAGAAGAATGGATAATAATGAAGCAAAAGTGGAATCAGAGAGATCAATTAGGAGATTATTTGTAGTCCAAGTGAGAGACAATGGGGGCTTGTACTGCAGTTTGAGTGGGAGATATGTAAAGCGATTCACAGGTTTGGAATATGTTCTAGAAGTACAGTTGATAGAAGCTCTGGTGGATTAGCTGTAGAGGATAGAGAATGATGGGAATCTAGGGTCATTCTTGTATTTTGGGATCGAACTGTAAAGAAGATTGGGGAGGCTGTTGACTAGGATAGAAAAGACTAGAAAGTGGTGGAAAAAGCAGGAGTGGGAGGTGGTCTGTTTTGGCCGTGTGATAGCCAGTGCTGGTTAGATGCCCATCAAGGTGTTATGGAGGCATTTGGAGATACAAGTCTGGAGATTCTGAGAAAGGTCAAAGCCAGGGATTGAAAAGATTGGTATGTAGATGGTCTTTATATTCTTCTAGTAATTTTATGGTTTCATTATTTAGATATATGTCTTTCATCCACTGAAAACTGTAATACAGTGTGTAGTATAGATTTGATTTTTCCCACATGGGCAGCCACTTGCCTCAGCGCAGTTCTGATCTGTAATTCTCTCAATACTATCAATATTCTCCCTCCCCCCCATCCCTCACCTCCAGAATAACATCAAGATTTCCTGTCTGGATATTCTTTCCTTCTCTATTTCATTCACTTTATGGTTTTTTCAAATTGTACTCTGATGAACCTTCGGGAGTAAATAAAGCCCTCTCAGTGCCATCCTGGCATGAGATAAGGGAGCAAACAGGCAAGGACTCTATTACTCACCCTGACTTCAAACACTAGAACTCTACTTTCACCCAATTTACATGTTGATGCTTCCAAACAAGAATTTTTATTGAAGAGATTCAGTTGCTTAAAAAAAAAAATCTTCTGGTGTGGTGGCTCACAGCTGTAATCCCAGCACTTTGCTAGGCTGAGGCAGAAGGATCACTTGGGCTACCAGTTTGAGTCCAGCCTGGGCAACATAGCAAGACCCCTTCTCCACAAAACATCAAAAAATTAGCCAGGCGTGGTGAGCCTGTTTGTCGTAGATTGGATTCCACTGGAAATAGACTTTGAGACAGAGATCTGTACACAAGAGGTTTATCAAGGCATTCTCTTCTGTAAAGGAAATGAATGAATTAAGATTAAGTAGGAGAGGAGATATTGGAACTATGAAGTAGTTACAATAGAGAATTCATGAATCCTAGATGTCCCAGGATCGGGCACAGTGGCTCATGCCTGTAATCCTAGCACTCTGGGAGGCTGAGGCAGGAGAATCACTTGAGGTCAGGAATTCCAGATCAGCTTGAGCAAGAGCGAGACCTATCTCTACTAAAATTAGAAAAAATTAGCCAGGCATGCCGGTGCACATCTATAGTCCCAGCTATTTGAAAGGGAGGCTGAGGCAGGAGGATCACTTGAGCCCAGGGGTTTGACATTGCTGTGAGCTAGGCTGACACCATGGCACTCTAGCCTGGGTGACAGAACGAGTCTCTCTCTCTCTCTCTCTCTCTCTCTCTATATATATATATATATAATATAATTATATATTATATAATTAAAAAAATAAATTGAAACTAAGATTAAAAAGAAAATACTAGATGTCTCAGATTGAGGCAAGGGGGCAAGTGTTGTCCAGTCAATGTATTCTGGCTGCCTTGGGAAGCTAATGTGAAATTGGATGAGAAAGCTTGCTTTAGGATGGATGGAGTTTCATGGAAGACAATTTTCCATGGACCAGCAGCAGGGGGGTGGGGGGTGGGGTGAGGCCTGGTGGAGCTCAGGCAGTAATGCCCACCCAGTTCCTATAGGCCATGGACTTATCAGGCCAGTTCCTGGAGGGGGGGGTTGGGGACCCCAGTTGTAGGCAGTTCCTGGAGAGGGACTTAGACATAAGCCATCCACAGGCCACAATCCATCAGTGCCTCAGTTCTGAAGGGGGTTTTTGGTTGGCACACCACAGCATCTACACTACTTCTTTGCATTTGCTCAGCCTATTTATTTTGTCAAGGACATTTCTTATCACCTCCAAATCCTACCCATCCATTAAGCCCAGTTCAAATACTATACCTCCATTAAACATTCCCTGATTCTTTGTCACTGTACTTAATATCTTACTCCTCTAAATATCAAGCACTTTATATTCCTCTTATGGCACTGTGGCATTTATTTTGTTTGACCTTCCATAAGAACTATTTTTCACTTTAATAAATTGATAGCTTTCTATCTATAACCCCAGCAATAAACTAGGACCTGAGGATATAAAGTGATCAAAACAGATATGATCCTCTCCATGCTTTAAATAAATAATTGGAAGTTAAAGAGTTCACAGTAGTAGAAGATACGTAGGATGAAAATTTAATTCCAGGGAGGGTATCAGGGAATGACTCCCTAAAGAAGTGATATTGAACTCAGGCCAAAAGGATAAGTAGAGAGTATCTCAGTGAAGGAGGGTCTTGGAGATAAGGAGTGGGGTGTATGCAACTAAGAGAGAGCAGTAAATGCTACAGGTGACATATGTGGATCCCTTCCTATGTGCCAGACATTATCTTAGGTGCTAAGGCTCCATCACAAAACAAAAACAAGAAGAAAAGTTCTTCCTCCAAGGAGCTTCCATTCTAGAAAATAAAAGAATTTACTATAACTAGAGTTTAGAGAACAAAGGAGAGAGTGGTGCAAGACAGGGCTGAAGAGGTCAGTAGAAGGTCAACCGCTAATGGCCTGGTGATTGGAGGATTTTAATACCACGGGACATGATCAGATTGTTTTTTAAACAATCACTCTGGCTGTAGTGTACATGTCCTGTTTCCCCTTCTGTGCTGCAAGCTTTTAGAAGACTGCTTTGTAACTAATTTACCTTCCAGCTCCTAAGGCCCCTCTGCAAATAATAGGCACCCAATAAATAATAACAAAGGCTAACATTTGAGTGTTTTCTATGTGCTGGAGACTGGTCTAAACACATCCCATGTATCAACTCATTCATCCTCACAAGCACCATCTCAGCTGGCTGGCCAAATGAGAGTAACGATGTTTATTTGGAGCATGGGAACCTGGACCCATCTGAGTGTCTACAGATATTAATTCTATGTGTACAATAAGTGGAGAGGGATGAGCAATGGATGAGAAAAAAAAATCAAAGTGCAAATACACAGTTCCACATGCCTCCGCATCTTAAACAAAATTATTTTAAAACATTCATAGTGAGCTAGAAAGCTAAGACATGCATGGACAAGAAAACTGTGTGATCCTATAGCCAAAAAAAGACTGGTGTACACATTTGCATATCTCTAGAACCCTCACCCTATTTTCTGTATTGAAAATTATTCAAGTGTATAAAGAACATGATAAGCTGATTTACCAAAACCACTGTGCTTCCTGAGGAACTGTTTATTACAAACCCTAACAATCCCTTAAGGCATCAGCGACAGCCCATCCCTCTCTGAAAAAAATACTGAAAAAAAATACAAATTAAAAAATCTTGAGAATTTGTTATCTGGGATCTGCAAAGAGACCTGTCTGATTGGACTGGAAGACACCTCCACCCCCCAGCTTTCTGACATTGCAACACACAAATGAAAAAGACTCACCTGTGGCCTAAAAAGCAGCTGTAACTCCCAGAATGAGAAGCTAGATAAATACTACAGTTAGAAGAGGCACTCGGGAATAGTCACGGACTGAGCCTCACAAGTATGTTTATAGTGCCAAATGAGAAACAACACAAGGAGCCATGGCAACCTAGAAGATGGGGAAAGGCAGATAAAGGTAAGAGGACATGAAGTGCTCATCCCTGTTAGCATGGAGGAACTTTGACCAGCATTCCACTCTAATACACGAGTGTAAAACAACTTAATGATCCTTTTCTTCAAGCATTCCCAAACAGTTCTTAGATTAAGTATAGGTTTATCTGTAGGTTTACCCCTGATAAAAAAAAAAAAAGAAAAAAAAATACGTAACTAATGATCAAGAGCCATCCTCCTCCCCCATTAATGCCTCATTTCTGAACACCAATGTTGAGGTTCTCCAAATAAACCCCCTACTTTGTATTTTTAGCACTTTCCTCCACTTCAGGCAATAGTTACAGCCCCTCACTGGGCCTTAGCCATCCTCTAACCCCTGCCCCCACCCCACAGTGCTGAAGGCGTGGCAGATTCATTTGGGTAGGAAGTTGGGATACCTCTCTTTGTAACATTTCATAAACTTTGTTTAAACAAGTGTAAACCAAAAACAGGATTTTGCAATAAAAAGTATTTTTATAAAAACCAAACAAAGACTAACAAGAGTTGTACCCAGCCATTAGGAAGGTAAAGGAACTGCTTTTCTTGACAGCCCTAAAAAGCTTTAAATTAATGTCAAAGACAGGAGTCCTGTCATGGAACAGAGAGACAAGTTCCAGCCCCTACTTGTTTATATCTTCCTGAGGCCATAATGCAACCCCTACCCCATCCCCCCCTGCCCCACCCCACACTAAGGAAAGGAAGAAACAAAAAGGCAGTCCAGTTTAACCCTTTCTGTTACCACGGGGCCTTTAACTGCCAGCCGATACTATTAATTACATCATGAAGTTGCTGCTGTGCTAAGCAAAGCCAAAGTTAGTAAGCAAATAATAATGATGCTTATTTAATCAGCACATACCAGGCACTGTGATAAGCACATGTTTCTTCAATTAGTCTCTGCAACAACCCAGATAAGGAAACTGAGTTGGAGAAGGTAACTGGTCAAGTTAACTTCACACAGTAAATAGCAGAGTGAAAAGTAGAACTGCTTGACCCTAATATCTATGCTTTAACTACAGTTAAAGCCTATAAATGAAATTTATACATAACAAATTATCTATAAATTTAATTTATTAAAATTAAAGTTAATGTAATATGATTATAAATTTATTCATAAATAAATCACCTAGAAATTAAATTTATAAAATGTTACTTATTCAAAGATAATCCCTAAAGCTCAAGTTGTTTTAAATTAAATATATCCAGGCAGCAAGTGTGCCTATGGCTAACCTTAACACTTACAACAAAAATATAACTGCCAACTTAGTCAAATCATTTGTATTTTCACACATATAATGTAATATAGATCCATAAAACTAGAATCATTGATTCATTTACACAATAAATTTCTTGAAATCCTCTTCTGTGTGCCAACCACTAAGAATACAATGTTGAACAGAATACTCAGTCTCTGACCTCATATATTATTGGCTAATGAGAGAGATTAAAAATTAAATCTAATAATGGAAGCACACAAATATTTAAATAATTGCAAACAGTTATGAGCTTTTGTGGGGGGAAGTACATTGTTATGAGAGAATAACCAGAAAAACTAATATTGATTGGTGATCAGAAAAGTCCCTCTAGCAAATTAGGAGGCATAGGAAGTACATAGCCTAAGAGGGAGAGGGAAGGAGGTGTTCCAGGCAGTGGACCTTGAGCCCTGAGGCTTTTGCCCAGGCCCTCATCAAGAAAAGAGGTTGGCTCTTTCCCAACCAGTGATCCTTGAATAGAGAGTCAGGGAAAAAGATAGGAAATGAGGAAAACTAGGTAAGCCATAAGGATTTTGTATTATACCTTACATGCACATGGAAACCCATTGCAGGATTCTGAACAGTGTAGTTTTATAAATTATCATTTTTTAAAATTCATTCTGGCTGCTGAGTCCATAATGAATGTCAGGTGAACAAAAATGGAAGAAGCAGACTGATTAGGAATTTTTACTTAAAATTGTTCGAGCAAAAAGTTGGTGGTGGCTTGGACTAAAGTGACAACAGTGGAATCTGGAAAGAAGTGGACAGATTGCATATACGTTTAGGAGATTATAAGATTTAGTGATGAATTTGATATGGGGAAAGATAAGGGAGAGGTGAGACAA